AACCAAAGTACAGTACTATTATTAACCCGATTCGTAATGCTAATTCTATTTCTAACCAAAATATTATTACTAACCTGATTCCTAAATCTATTTCAAATACCTATTCTAACCCGATTCCTAATATTATCCCTAGCTTTAACCCTAAAAGCACTCATTCTAATCTTATCCTTAACGTTAACCAGGTTTCAAACACTATTCCTAATCTTAACCTTATTTAAATTTTAATCTGACCATATATCAAACAAATCAATACTTAGTTAGTATAATTCAATTGTTTCATTCACATCATCATCTTTTCAGCATAAAAGTAGTTAAAAACATAAATACTTACTATTACATAGTACTCTTCGACTATTTCATTTCGTTCAGCATACAAGATCACTATTAATCGGCAAAGTTAAAATCAACAAAACAAATTTAAATAAAAACATAATTACTAATTTACTATTATATAATACACTTCAAATAATTTCACCCATCAATTATTCTTTTAGTTCATGAATACAAAGATCTCTCGAATTAAAATCGGCAAAACAGGCTCACAAATCAGCATAACAGATAAATGGGGTCTTTGCCTTGAAAATGACCTTATAGGACTATGTAAATTTTATGAAATTAAAATTTCTAGCTATCCAGCAATCCAATTTAAATAAACTTTCTTTTATTTTATAAAATTTTAATTTTTATTCATAAAATCTACATAGCCCCGTAAGATCATTTTCAAGGCAAAAACCCGAATACTTATTCACAATTACATAGTACCCTCAACCATTCGTTAATTATTTCGTTTAGCCTACATATATAATCATTATTAATTAGCAAAGTTAAAATTAATAAACCCTCAAAGAACATAATGCTAATTTATCTCTATAAAATACTCTTCAAATAATTCTACTCGCATTAATATAAAGATCACTGGAATCAAAACCAGCAAAACGGTTCGCAAATCAGGAATATAAATGTTTATCCATTATATAGTGCCTTTTAACCATTTCATCTCGTTTAGGGGTGCAGGTGAATCGTCCCAATGATGCTGTAACTATATTAAATAATGTTGGTAGTTAATAAACAGATTTGTTAGTGAATTGAACTTGTTAGGATAAACTGCTAACAATAAAGTTATTAAAATGAAAAGGCAGTAAACTGTTTTGATTACAACAGAAATGTCTTTGGTTCAATACTATTCAATGTATATGTTGTGCCTGAAGTTGACACTTGCCTGAAGTTGTAACTTCAGGTGCCTGAAGTTACACTTGCCTAAAATTACCTAAAATTACTAATTAACGTTAATGCATGCAAGATGATCTAATTTCAGGGGTTAATTTCAGTCAAGTGCAACTTCAGACGCCTAAAGTTGCAACTTCAGGCAAGTGTCAACTTCAGGCACAACATATATATCATAAAAGGTTCAAAGAGTTTCATGATTTAATAAGTCAAGTTTGCTTGTAGTTTCTAGAACAGATTAAAAATTATCAAGAAATGTTGACTTTGCCAGATGACCAGATGCAAAAGCTGCCTTTTCTACAAAACAATCAATCACAAGACCTTCCTTCAATGATTAAAGGTGCAAAGGTCATAAAAAAATTATTACCGCAGAATCTAGAAGTTGCTTATAAACCTTATTACGGTGACATATCACAAGACCAAAATACATTAAACATTCTCAGAAAATCTAACTTTTGTCCGAAAGTACTTAAATTTTATAGAATCTACGATAAGCTCGATCAAAAATATATTGTCTTTGAATGGGCAGACAGGAGAAATTTAAAAGAAGTTTATGAGAAAAATCGTATATCTTGGCCTACTAAAGTAAATTTAGCTTTGGATATTTTATGTGCAATTCTATTTTTAGATTTTTTTAAAATATTCCATCATGATATCTGCTGTGAAAATGTTCTAGTAAGCTAAATACTTTTATCAAGTTTACTTGCTGATAAATCATTATGAACAAACAATCTTTTGATATTCTGATAGATAACTAATAATTTTGAACCGAAATTAACAAATTTTCAATGTGCAAGAACAATTGAAAGTCCAAGTTTGGCACTTAAACCTGTGTTGGATATGCTTTTTTGGATGGCACCTAAAAAAAATGCAGGAATATAAACATGATACAATGCCTTATACCTACAAATTTGAAATTTTTAGGTAAAATATTTAAATTTATCATCATAATGTACTTCTTTAATTAATGTATATGCTTATTTAGCTTTGGGATGCTTTTATGGGAATTGGCTTTTGAAAAAATTCCTTATACTAACTTTGGCACAAATTATAAAAATATAATTTCTTATGTTACAAGCAGTAACAGGGAAAAAATCTATGATTGTTCATTAGATGACCCAAAAATTATTGAAATTTACAAGGGATTTGTAAAAATTATCAAAAGCAGTGTGTATTCTTTTGATTTTAAATCACAAATTAAAATTCATACCTAATAAATTTTGCTTCTAAAAGCATGGGCTCATAGACCAGAAGAGAGATTCTGTCTTAGCAGATTATTTATAAATTTATCAAGCTTTAAAGTAAATTTCAATAAATCAAATAGCAATTAAATGTTTATTGCTGGTCAGTGTTAAACTATTATTATTGCTTAACCTTGTGAAAATTACCGATCATGATTTATCAAATAATACTATTGTCTATGTGGACAAAACAATTGCAAAATTAAAATTAGTTAAGTTAATTATCATAAAGCTTTCTGGATATGACAGTTAGTTTTGATAAAGTAATATATTTATTTTGAAAAAGATAACAAACACAAGATAAAAGATAAATAATTTAGAATAATGACTAATACACGAATCTAACCCTCAAAAATACCATCAATAAAAATCATTTTTAAACTCAATAACCTTATTTTTAAACTTACTATAGTATAAGATAATTGATAAGCTAATTCTATTTACATTTGTTTAATTTTACTTTTTTTTTTGTGCTTTTTTTTCTTTGTAACTGTTTTAGTATTTCTTTTTCGTTTTCTGGGTTGTAAGTCTTCTTCTCTGTCTTCATCTTCATTTTGTATATCTTCAGCATCAACTTTATCTTTATTTTGTGTATCTTCAGTATCAACTAGCTCATTGATATCATCGTCTGATTGCTCATCATCATCCAAATCAATATAAACTGGTTGAGGCAGTTTCTTTTTTTTATATGAAGGATTAATTTCTACATTGGTATCCAATTTGTCTGAGGAAGTCTTAGATGATTTAGAAACATTAATATTATCAGATTTGACTGAATAAGTTGTAGATTCAACATTGTTTAGTAGTGTTTGAGTAGTAATTAATTCAACATCATCTGTAACAATATCAATAATTGATCAAGACCCAGGCATCATTGAGGATGAACTTCCAAGAACATTGTAATTCAAATTTGGAGTCTTTATATATTTAATATCTGTTGTCTCAATAACCATTTTACCAGTTTGTGAGAACTTTATGAGCCCTGATATAATATAAGCATTGTTTAACTTGATATTTGAGCCTGAAGTACCAAGATAATTCTGGAATCTTTTAGACTTAGAGGAATAAAGAACTGTCATCTGCATTTTAATATTGGATGAGCCAGTAACATTATTATACTCAATAGTTTCTATGCCAAAATAGATAAAACCCTCAACTTCTTTTGGTACACGTTTAACAACTACAGAAAACATGCAATGAGGGATGCAGATAGGGACATCAGTCATGTTAAACTCATGGTTAGGATTCTTATCATCAATAGTACTAGCATAAGCAATAGTAATACATTGTTCAGAGTTTTCAATTACATATTTTCTTGAGACAAATACAAGGTCACCAGGTGTAAATAACCGAGATTCTTCATCTGCAGAGAAAAAACATTTCTACCTAATTACCTGGGATACTTCATTTGAAATTTTATACTTAGCATAACCAAAAGAACTATAGTTACTGTTTTTTGCAGAAACAATAACAACGATAAGTGCAATATGTGTGGGTATTTTAATAGAATTTTGAATTTTTTATTTATTTGTAATGTGTAATTAGATTGAAGAATTATTGTGCCGGAAATTTGACCTATTTATAAAAAATAAATCATTTGATTTGATTTTATTTTATTTTTATAAGCATATATTAGATTTACTATAAATATTTAAGGCTTTAACAAACAAATGACCTCTTACAACACAAGTATTATTTTCAACAGGCTATGTGTAAAAATGCCAAAAGATAATTAAAAGAATATTTTGCTACACTACAAATTATATTAAACTATTAATTATATATTAAGAAATAATTTGACCATATTAACCGGGCTTGATATTATCTATAATGTTAATTATTGAATGTAAGTATATAATTGCTATTTTTATACCTATATATCGAATATAGAAAAATAAGACACCTCAGCCAATAAACTATTTACCATAATTACTGTTATTTACAACTTAGCTTCAACTTGGTATAGGTATAGAATAAACTGTTATAGCTTCATTATCCAAATCAAGTAAACAAAATCATTTAGTTCGAAAGCCACACTGTATAAATTTTGAGATAGAAAATTTAATACAGTATATGTAATTACTATTTGACAATACATTAATAAATCAGGTAATTATTTATTAGAAAATACCTTAGTTCAGAACAATTACTGTATTAAATCCAACTGTATATAGCGACAACTCCTAAGTTATACATGATTGTTATATTTATATTGATATATCAGATAAGAAAATAACGTATTTAACAGAGTAAAATGTATAAGCCCTATTACCGGTAGGTCTATATAGTAATAGTCAGAACAGTAAACAAAAACAGGCAAATTAAGAATATTCATATCATGCGTTTAAAAGCCATGATATTAAATAGTAAAGCTTAACTTACTAATCACAAAGAAAATTATCATATTGTTATAGTAGTCTAGAATATTCTCTAATTATAAATATTTTTTTTTGCATGCAATACAATACCCACAGGTATGTACAAATGTAGAAATTCAATTCAAAGTCACAAGGTTAGATTAACCAATCAGACACAAAAGAGACACACCATTTTAAATGCCTGTAAACCATACTCTACGTACTTTGTACTCCGTTCCTGGTAAATTTTCTAAAAATTTCCTTATTATATTATAGTTTGTGATACATAGGAAATTTACCCTAGGTGCCACACAAAAAATGCGCGGCAGATCCTCGATTTTGATTGGCTAACTGCCGAAGATCTTCGAAATTTTGGTCCGCATTACAAAATTTTTTACTAAATTCCGGCCAGAATTAACTTTTTAATTTTTTCATTACAAAAATAGAAATTTTTAAAAATAAGCACACATTATGGTAAAATTAACCCAGGAACAATTTTCACTTAATGGGCGGCTGCGATTTCATTAGTAAAATTATGAGTAATTCCGGCTTAATTTTTT